CGCGTGTGCCCCTTTGGAAAATTGGAATACAGAATCCGGACGTTGGAATTGATGTTGTTGCATTTTAGGGTTTAGTGGCACCAACTTTTGGCTCATCATGCATTGAAAAGCGTGTGTTCTTGGGTGGGTATGACATACATGAAATACAACACGGTGTATTCCGCATCGCCCTCGGTCCCGGCCCTCCCGCGAGTCGGATCGCCCTCCGGCCGTCGGGCGATCCGACCCGCGGTCGGGCCGATACCTGGGGCGATACGGAATACCCCGTGTTGTATTCTATATTTATTACACTGGATTTTACGTGTTAGGACAATGTTTATGAGTTTTTCACCAAAATTGTACACAACGTTACTTTCAGACAGCTCTTTAGTGTACTTACAACTTACAACTTTTCAAGTTAACATAACCAAAAGACGATTCGCTGTTCATGTTGACTGCAATATAATAAACTTCTAGCATATAGCTTTCGAAATGCATTTTACACCAAAAAAGAAAGCCAAAATTTTACTACCAGTATTGTATGTTTATTCTGCATTATTGGACATCATTACCATTTCTTTATTATAAAGTGTGTGATGTACACATGTTATTTTTCTTGTCTGTTGTGCTTTGATGATTGGTGAATACATGTACAGTGCACAGGAAACCTTGTCTCGGTGTCCTTACTTTATCCTTGTTGACCTCGTGGTAGTGTTTCGGTGGTCCTAAAAGTGGTAAATCGGTAGTCCTCTTTTTCCCACCCAAAGCTGCCTGAAGTACACCCCAAGTCTGGCCGTATTCCCACCTGCCCGCGCACTGTGATAATATTCAACGTTACACTGAGGCAGGAATTGTTATCTGGAATACTTCCGCATGATGTGTTTGTCGTTTATGTTTATACAAAGGCCATGTGGTTTTAAATGGGCGAATAAGTACGTTGTCAGCCATTATAACGTCAATCGTCAGCAGAATCAAGATGGCGCCCATGTAAAAAAATAAAAAATATCACTGTCCAGTGCTCTTGTCCCCACATGTTACACAACAGACATTAGTTTAATTTAGTAAAAGTTCTGCATGATCAAAATTCCCCCATAATGCACATAATGGGGATTTTACTCCTTTGGGGCCCATTAATGTGGTCGGCCGTAATTAAATGTTTTGGTTATGCTCAAGACTTTCGAGTTGCAAATCATAAATTGTTGTAATTTTAGCTACATTTCAGATTAACATACCATTCCAACTACATTTAAAGCTAGCTTTTGTGATTGCATTTGAGAGAGATCTGAAACAGTCACCACTTCAAACCATACCAAAATATTAATTTGTGATTGTTAAGCTGGACTGTGAGTGTGACACATACATCTCGATAGCTGGAGCTAACGTTATCAGAATCCAAGAAAAATCTAAGCTGGTGTGTTACCCCGAGGGGGGTTATACTAGCGAGACAGATACTAAGTACAGAAACCGGTGCATTATGCCAAAGGGTGGTTATACAGACACACAAGTTTATGTATTATGTAAAGATATTTGTACTGTATGTGTACATATGCCCACATGTTCCCTGGTGGTTCACATGTCTCTTGTGAAGTTGTCATAGGTCTAGCCTGAGTCTCATCTTTTTTAGTTTTCATCCACTCCCCACACTCGGCTGTAACCGGCCAGTAGCGGAACGTAGTGAGCGGACAAAAGCTAAAAAGGCTGACATTCAGGCTATCATAGGCCAGCTGGTACCTCAATTTGTACATGCATCTGTTGCTGCTATCTAATTGACTTATGACACCGCTTATGATTTAACTCACGGCGGTCGGTTG